TCAATTCCTGAGTTTGGGACAAGCTCAGAGATTGATTGGATTTCAGTTCCTGAGTTGGTTAGGAGCAGGGTGTGTTTCCTTGGCTCTGGTCTCAGGGCCAAGGTGTTCTTTCACTGGCCCTTTTTACCCTAGAGTAACTAGCTTCTCTGTCTGCCGTGGGGAAGGCAGTGTGCACACTAACTAGTTTCTCTGTCTCCCGTGGGGAAGGCAGTGTGCACACTAACTAGCTTCTCTGTCTCCCGTGGGGAAGGCAGTGTGCACACTAACTAGCTTCTCTGTCTCCCGTGGGGAAGGCAGTGTGCACACTAACTAGTTTCTCCGTCTGCCGTGGGGAAGGCAGTGTGCACACTAACTAGCTTCTCTGTCTCCTGTGGGGAAGGCAGTGTGCACACTAACTAGTTTCTCCGTCTCCCGTGGGGAAGGCAGTGTGCACACTAACTAGTTTCTCTGTCTCCCGTGGGGAAGGCAGTGTGCACAGTAACTAACTTCTCTGTCTCCCGTGGGGAAGGCAGTGTGCACACTAACTAGCTTCTCCGTCTCCCGTGGGGAAGGCAGTGTGCACACTAACTAGTTTCTCCGTCTGCCGTGGGGAAGGCAGTGTGCACACTAACTAGTTTCTCCGTCTCCCGTGGGGAAGGCAGTGTGCACACTAACTAGTTTCTCTGTCTCCCGTGGGGAAGGCAGTGTGCACACTAACTAGTTTCTCTGTCTCCCGTGGGGAAGGCAGTGTGCACACTAACTAGCTTCTCTGTCTCCCATGGGGAAGGCAGTGTGCACACTAACTAGTTTCTCCGTCTGCCGTGGGGAAGGCAGTGTGCACACTAACTAGCTTCTCTGTCTCCCGTGGGGAAGGCAGTGTGCACACTAACTAGTTTCTCCGTCTCCCGTGGGGAAGGCAGTGTGCACACTAACTAGCTTCTCTGTCTCCCGTGGGGAAGGCAGTGTGCACACTAACTAGCTTCTCTGTCTCCCGTGGGGAAGGCAGTGTGCACACTAACTAGCTTCTCTGTCTCCCGTGGGGAAGGCAGTGTGCTGTGACAGTCTTCGTTGCCCCACATCTCTGACACAGTGCTTTCTTTCATGTCTGCCCTCTAGACATGCTTCAAAGATGAGACTCAGTTCTCTTTCTCCCTTCTGCTCTCTACTCTCACTACTCCTCTCCTACATCTTAATGGTGGGTTTTTTGTTTTGTTTCTAAACAGACTCTCACTTTGTAGTCCTGGCTGGCCTGGAACTCAATATGTAGACCAGCCTGGCCTTGATCTTTTCTTGTCTCTTTTATAAGTATGCCTAAAACACTGGCTTTACCAACAATTCGAAGATTTATTTGTTTACCATACTACTTTTATGTCCAGACAACTAAAAGTTCCTTCCTGAAATCCTTGAATTTCTTAACAACCTTTAGAGTCACCAGATAATTTTCTTGATGAAATTTCCTAGAGCAGGGCTTATGCAGGAGAAAATTAGCTTTTTGTTGGTAAAAAGGCACATAGGAGTGTAATGTTAGTATCAGCTGTTTGGGTCAAGCCATAAACTAAGATGCCTTTGTTTCTTACTGAAAGATTGTGGGAAGGTGGGGAAACACAGAGGCCCTCCAAGATTCAGTGCCTTTCTGTTCATAGTAGGAGAAGACATAAGTTTCATGAAACGAGAGGATTTTACCAGTGGTTTTGGAAGCTTTTTCCCATTCAGGAATTAAACAGTTTACCTAATTTAGAATGATTGTGAGGAAAGTCCTTGTCACTGATTCCAGTAGTTAATTGAATCACGTTTGAGATTACAAAAATGCCATCTTGTCTAAAGAGAAAATCCACTTCCTCGTTAAGGGTTGACCCCTCCCTTGATGTCCTCCCAACACCCAGTAAATTACTGTCTCTTACTTCTCCTCTTTGAGCTCGTAGACCCGCCCACTTTCCATTCCCACTCAATCCTAACTGTTGTGTGTGGTTTTTCCTTGGACGGCTGCAGTAACTCCCAGCATCATTCTTTGGTTTTTCCTTGGACGGCTGCAGTAACTCCCAGCATCATTCTTTGGTTTTTTCCTTGGACGGCTGCAGTAACTCCCAGCATCATTCTGTGGTTTTTTCCTTGGACGGCTGCAGTAACTCCCAGCATCATTCTGTGGTTTTTTCCTTGGACGGCTGCAGTAACTCCCAGCATCATTCTGTGGTTTTTCCTTGGACGGCTGCAGTAACTCCCAGCATCATTCTTTGGTTTTTTCCTTGGACGGCTGCAGTAACTCCCAGCATCATTCTGTGGTTTTTTCCTTGGACGGCTGCAGTAACTCCCAGCATCATTCTGTGGTTTTTCCTTGGACGGCTGCAGTAACTCCCAGCATCATTCTTTGGTTTTTTCCTTGGACGGCTGCAGTAACTCCCGGCATCATTCTGTGGTTTTTCCTTGGACGGCTGCAGTAACTCCCAGCATCATTCTTTTGTCTCCTTGAAGCAGAGCATTGCAGTGTAGCTCAGACTATGTATGCTCAGACATATGGTCTTCTTGTCTCAGCTTTCCAAGTGTTGGGATTAAATATGTGTGCCTGGCTAAACAAGGTCATTCGTAAAAAAATGTCCTTTCCCCCAAGGAAATGAAAACTGGTTGAGGGAAAAGTGGAAAGCCTTGCAGTGTTTTTAATTCACAAAGTAAAGCTTGGTTGAAAGTTCATATGGGCAAGGCAGTTAGAGGGGACACAGGTTGATAATTAAGTTGGGAACACTAATATGTATTGATGTTTCTTTTCTCTTTTGTATTTTTGTTGTTGTTGTTGTTGTTTGCTTTCTGGATAAATTTCCTTAATTCTTTTGTTCCACTGTTTGTTTGTTTCTAAATTTTTATTTTGATTATCCAATTGCAGTTAACAAAAAGGCATTTTCTCTGGTTCTTCCTACACACCACCTTGGTAATATCCTAATTTTGTTTCATGAATACAAAATAGGAGTTACTTTAAAAGTTAGTTTTTGGTTTGGTTCTCTATTTTCTATTGGTCCAAAATTTTATTTACTGTTCAATTTCTTGGAAAAGGTGGGGCATTTTCATCAAGGACCCTCAATAGGACAGTCTCTTATATCAGCCCAAGCCTGTCTGGTGGGAGTAAAAGAATGTAAAGGCCTGACTAAACAACCAGCACTTATTTTCTTGCTGTATAAATTGAGCCTTGAAGAGTTCAGATTTTGGGGCTGGAGAGATGGCTCAGAGGTTAAGAGCACTGGCTGTTCTTCCAGAGGTCCTGAGTTCAATTCCCAGCACCCACATGGTGGCTCACAGCCATCTGTAATGAGATCTGGCTCCCTCTTCTGGCCTGCAGGGATACATGCAGACAGAACACTGTATACATAATAAATAAATAAATCTTTAAAAAAAAAGAGTTCAGATTTTTAAAAACTATTATCTAAATGGCCATTTTAGATGATAAAACAGCCATTTATGCACTGGAGAGGTGGTTCAGAGGTTGAACACTTACTGCTTTTCCAGTCCCCAGCACACAACCGTTTTAACTCCAGCCCCATGGGATCCAGTGCCCCTTCTGACCTCCAAAGGCACTGCACATACACGAACACAAAGGGGAAAATACTCAAAAAATAAATATATCTAAAAATAAATGGCCATGTTAATGGTTTTAACAACTGCAACTTTAATGAGTCTTTGTTTTGTTTTGAACCCAGGTAAACGAGACTTTTATCAAGACCGAGACCCCTTAAGGGTCTCCATAAGCAGAGAACAAAGTTTCCTGGGGAGTCCACTGGCACGTGACCCATTTGATTGTCACCAGCCACCTGCCCAGAACAGCGGAAGCCATGACTATGATGAAGCAGGTAAGCTGAAGTGTCGCACACAGGACATGTGGACAAAAGGTGGTGATTAGGTTGTGTTTAATAGTGGTAAGTAGCTTTGGTGATTGGTGGTAATCAGATCACTGTGGTACACTCATGCCCTCTTGATTTATGCAGTCATTAACAGTCATGAGAGTGAAGCTGGGATGTGTGGAGATCAGACTATCCTGGAACTAACAGAGATCCTTCTGCCTCTGTCTCCCAAGTGCTAGAAAATCTTTTTATTGTAAAACTGTAGTATTATGTGAGTACCATTACGATTGTATGAGATATGATGAGTTGGTGACTTTGCAGGCCACATTATGAATACAGTGCCAGGAAATGCTGTTTTCTGAAAATTGTGACATTCCAAGAGAGTACTGCCTGATACCTGTAAACATGATGAAGCATTTTAAGTCAGCCAATTCCACCACCCAGTGGCAACCAAAGTTAATTTTCTTGCTTTTGAATTTATGGATACATTATAGATATGAAGCTATAATATTGTTTACTAGCCTACAAAACAGAGCTCCAATACCATTTTATTAGTTGTAACATTCTTTTTAAGTAGTTATCTTTCTAGGATTTCTGTTTATTTTAGCTTCATTTAAACACAAATAATTGATAGGTGAATTATAGCTATTGGAGGGTTCATAAGAGAAGGATTGACTCCAACATCTGCTTTTGTGTTACAGTTGAAACAACATTATAGGACATTGTCATTTTTGATATTTTGACTCTCCCAACTTTATAATTAATATTTAAATATTTTAAGAGAGTTTTACCTCTGGACTAGAAGTGACTACATTTTTTTAAGTAATGAATATTGCCCTAATGAGTAAATTGGTATTTTTTTATTTGGCCTGAGGTAAGGCAATTTTAAGAAGCAAAATATAAAAATAAGGTATAGAAATGCAGGTGCTAAAATTTTACTTTGTCTTAACTTCTCCTACCACTATTTTGAAACCTCCAATCCCCATTTTAGTTAAAGTCAAGGAATCTGATGTTGAGAATCATGCGATACTGAGTCATGCTGTCTCAGAAGAAGGGTGTACATACCTGGGTCCAATTGTAAAGCCAGATGATAAGGTCAGTGATGCTACTTTGTGTTCTATATTGACCTGTTGGATTTTGTATTTCTGTTTAGTTTGTTAGAAACTTCAAGTTTGTCCTCTGAGATCTACTGAGGTGGATCAATGATGAAAATAGCCAAATCTGAGCATCAGAAGACCTTTTGGTCTGCTTGGTGCATGATCTCTCTAGTTCTGAGAAGCAAAACTACAAAATAGCTTAAAACAATTAGGGTCTGTGTATGGTGAGAGAAAGGGTGTGTGTTGGGGGGTGGTATGGATGGTGAGAAAAGGGGTGTGTCTGTGGGGTGTGTGATCACTTCTGAGCAATGATGAAAAGGCTTTATAACTGAACTTGTCACTATGAAGGTTTCTACACTTGACCTGAGCTCAGAATTGACAACTAGCAATGTTGATCGTTTGTGGTTTTTCTAGATAGGTCATGATACATCATGATCTAATATTTCCTTTTGAAATTTTAGGCTGAAACACAAGAGATTTCTCAGGAGGCATTATCTTCAGTAACTGTTTCTACTGGAAGCTTCTTAAGTTATGAAATCACAGATTTGAGCCTTACAGATCCAGGTATTATCAAACTGTGTGAACATATTGAAGGAACAGCACTGGCTGCACTGAAGTGTGGTAATGGAGGGAGCATTGCTTTTTCATGTTGTGTCCAGGTGATGTGTTTGGACGAGAAGCTGTCTCAAGTCAACAAAGGCAAACACATTGGTGTTAAACAGAATACCATATAGTGTGATATTCTAAAATGCTCTTTGGCACATTTTCCCATTTAGTGGAAATCTCTGAACGGATTTCTTGGTTCCCCCAATCTCAGCAATATATACTGCTATGACACATTATGTTTGTGAGGAAATACCCAGACATTAAATTAATGTTTTATAAATGTTAATTAAATGTTTTCATTATACTTGATTTTAGAGTCATTTTCGGAACAGATGGAGCATCAAGAACAAGAATCTACCAGTAAACAATCTACCAGTAAACAAGAAGGTATTTATCAGCAGTTGCACACCTTGGGTGCTAATGAATCTCTGTTGCCCACGGAGGAAGAAAGGGCATCCGATCACACACGTGTTCAGCAGATCAGAGACAAGGATATAAATGAAGCAAATTTGATACCTGAAAAAAGAGACTTGCAGGGTAAAAATCATTTTAAAAGAATTTTTTTTAGCTCTTCACCTGTCATCATTTTTGGTTTTAAGTATTGTTTGAGTTTCATCTTTTTTATGGCCTGCACATCATTTATGCCACAGATAATATTGAGGGCATTTATGAAGCAGGGCATCTGGGAGCACTTTAATGAAGAATAGAAGGGGCCAGCCAGATGGCTTGGCATTGAATGTACTTGCTATCAACCTATGATCTGAGTTCAGTCCCCAGAACTTACATGGTTGAAGGAGAAAACTGACTTCTGGAAGTTATCTCTGACCTACACACAAACACTATGAATATAATTTTTTAAATTAAAAAAAAAAAAAAGCAGCTTGAAGAGCCTAAAGAGAAGATTAATGAGGACATCTCCCTACAACTAAGGCAGGGATTTAGAGCATTTCCTGGCTATGAGACCTTTTCTTCCATAATAGAGAAATTGAAATTAAATGAGATGTGCACATAAAGTACAGTACGTGCGCCCCAGTAACAAAGACGACAGTGAACCTTTGTCATTTTCAACTCTTGATCATGAAATGAGCTAAGTAAGAGTTCAAAGCTTATAGTTAAGCTTTCCCATGTAGTCTTATGTGGCCTGCTCTTCCTAATTAACCTGACAAGCCTTTGAAGCTGGTAGAATGGAGATTTGTATTTTAGCTTTGTTCGTAGAAGATTTCCATTTCTTACACCTGGGGAACAATCATGATTGAACTTATTTTGAATGCATCTGGTGAGCACGGAAAACAAACGGAAGTAATCCATATTAGAAATGTTTAAACACGCTAATGAGCATGGTCTCAGGACTCCTTTGCCAGGTTTCACCATGTTTTTAAATTAAACTTTTTTTTTCCCCCACTCAAAAGTTCCAGCTGTGGACCTTGACTTTCCAGAATTGGAACACGTATTTCCACACTTACATCGTCAGCTCTTTAAACCTTTAGAACCATATCTAGATTTTGACTTATCATCATCCTCTGGAATTTCTCAAGACAACAGAGACTTTTACGAGGTAAATTAAAGTTCATTGCAATGAGTACTGATGAACAGTTGATCTTGTTTTGTTTCATTTTGTTCTTTTTCGTAGTCCAAGGTAAAACTGGATATACTGCCAAGACAGTCTTTGCATGTGCTGGGGTTCCAGGTGTGCATCACCGTGCCTACCCCGAGTCTTTTCTTAATAGGAAAGAATGTCACTTTCTTCAAATGCCCATGCTCCAGCAAATAGCCTTCCATCTGTTCTTATGCAAGCAACCCTAGTTAAACTCAACACTGAAGACCTGAAAGTGGGCAGAAGGGGCTCTGTGGGAGGAGGGAGAAGGAAAGAGCAACAGGGGATGGGGATGACTGTAATTCTTTGTATATATGCATGAAACTGTCACAGAAGTGTTAATATACACATGATATTTAGTCACATATTTTATATCAGTTTTGGTATATTTTACTATTCTAAATATTAGTACACTAAATGTAGATTACTAAATTTCTTTTTTTTTTTAAGATTTATTTTTAAGTGTATTGGTGTTTTGCCTCATATATATCTCTGTAAGGGTGTCAGATTCCCTGGAACTGGAGTTACAGAGAGTTGTCAACTGCCATGTAGGTTCTGGGAATTGAACCTGGGTCCTCTGGAAGAGCAGCCAGTGCTCTTAACCTCTGAGCCATCTCTCCAGCTCCATTACTAAATTTCTAAACACACACACACACACACACACACAATCTATATCTCCTAGCATACACATCACACCCCTGATCAATTAAATGAATCTTGGACTATTTAGACACTATGTATGTACACATCCTGATTTTCCTAGTTCTGATGTAAAAACAAACAGGTGAAGTCATGCACACTTTTAATCCCAGAATTTGGAAGCACATGAGGGATGGAGACCAGCCTGCTACAGAGATGGCCTTATGCCAGTCAGCCTCATGTCCAGCTTGTGTGTATGATCCCATAGGGGTCTTATGTTTTTAGTGTTTTGGTTTACTTCTTACTTGGATTTTATCTTATCTGTTAAAATATTTTAAAAGGTAAATATTTCACAGAATCTTAAAAATGTCAGTTATAAAGCCAAGCCCAAATGTGGGACTTTGTAATCCTGTATGTAGCCTGTAGGTGGTTCTTTACATTTATTTTTTGTGTGTACCATGTGTTTGTGTTATGGTGTGAAATGTCGAGGTCAGAGGACAGCTTTGGAGAGTCTTGAAGATCAAATTCAGACCACTGGACATAGCTGCAATTGCCTTTGTATGCTGAGCCATCTTGCCAGCCCATCTGTTCTACATAGTTCCTATTTATCAGAAAAAAAAAAAAAATTAAGTGACCTATGTCTTTTTCAGGGATTTGGGAATTTAGACTGAATTGAGCATAGGTCCTTGCATTCATTCTCCAACACCAAGGAGACATTAAATTTATCAATAAGCACACTGTTACAGAGTTCACTAAGACCACTAGGAAAAGACAACAGACTCAATCCAAATTATAATTTATTAATACTGTTAGCAGGGCAACAGCCTTCTTTAAAGCCAAATTGAAGGTGTGCTGCACAAAAGGGACTAGGGGGCTTTTCAAGGTAAAGACCAGTTGTTTTTGTGGAATTTGCAGTTACATGAGGTACTGTCCTTCTCCCCCTTGTACACATTGATAAAGGAGCTGTCTAACTCAGCATTAAGTGGGTTTACAGAAACCAGAGCAAGCAGTTCATTATCTCACAGCAGTTACACCATTATGGGCAGGACACAGGTTGCTAATTTATCCTCCAGGAATTTAGGAGGGTGGAATGGAGTTTCTTTAGCCATCACAACACCTTGATTATAATGGTAAAGTGTAGTGAAAGAAAAATAGTATTAAAGACATGTGGTGTGGGTGATTTGACTGGTAATATAGAATCAGTATTCCAGCCTTTCTCTTTCTTACTGTTCTCAGCAGAGCTCTGATGTTAAAGTATCATCCACAAGCACAGTTTGTTTCACAGCACTGAGGGCCAACTTGCATTCTTCTAACTCAAGGCTAAACCAGCAACCTGATGTTCACCTGGCTCATGCTGCAGCTCAGACTTTTGCTGCTGAGGGTATGTGTAACTAAGTTAGAGAAAGATAAATAAACTCCAAGACTCTCTTCACTCCAAGACTCTCTTTCCTTTGGCATTTATCTCTCACGTCTTTCTTAATCTGTCCCTTTTTGAGGTTCTGTTCATGTTTGATTTAATACTAAGTCTCACATAATGAAGTCCCTTTTTCCCCACCCAACCAACTGTAGTCCTTTCTGGATCTTGTACACACATACACTTAAGTATTTTTCAGAACTCTGATGGGAATATCCTTACTGTCCAATAACCATGGAATTTAGTTAATATTAGGAATGCTTTTTTGAAAATCAATGACCACTGTGCGTTATCAGATGTTTATATACATCAACTTTTCCATCTAAAACTATAGATCATAAAACCTATTTGCAATTTAACTTAAAATGTGACTTTCTCTTCTCTATACAGTGTTTATGCTGACTTTGAAATTTTTTTTAATGCAGGATCTGAACAATCTTTTCAGCAGCTTCTACCAGAACTCTCTTCACAGGAAAGCCAACATGCTGATCTACCAAGTATTTACAGCATCGAAGCAAGAGGTACTTACCAAAGCATGGAAAACCAGAACTATTCTGAACAGACTGAAATACCACAAAATAAGAAAAAAACTGTTCATTTTCAGTCCTCGACAGAGAATTTGAGTCCAGTCTGCAGTTCACCTGATGATGCTACTGTATTTGATCAGTTACACCTGCAACACAGCACTCCATGTGGTTCCATCTCTAGTGAGTGCTCAGGAAAACAATTAGAAAGCAAAGAAGAAATGCCGGGCTTTCAAGAACTGTCCAGGAAAGTGGTTACAATGTCAGAAAGCCAAAGACTCACTAAAAATGAAAATGAAGCTATAAATCTGCATGTAGAAATTGACTCGGAGGGAAATTCACAGAGTATTCAAATTAAAGCTGAAAGAAACCTATCTCAGGTAGCACAAGCAGAGCACATGACAAATTCTAAGTCATTTCAGAGCTCTATTCCCATCTGGGTAAGTAGGTGTGTTTTGTACAACACTTAATCACTTTTCATGAGAAATCTTTCCAGCACATCTGGCTCAGCTTATCCTGTTAGCAGAAGTTTAGTTCTAAGCTTATAGTCAACTAGCTGTGGTTTCCACTTTCTAATACATACTGTGGCTGGAGGAATAGCAGTTACATCTAATGGCTGGGAAGACAGAGATGGACAGATGTCTGCAGTTGCTGGTCAGCCAAAATCTGTCAAAACAAAGGTTGGCTGATGCTAAGGCACACACCATTAATCGCTTATGGGATTAATCTGTTTACTGTGCAACAATTCAAAATGGGAGGAACATGTCATACATAAATTAAATTCCATAGTTATTGGACAATAAGGATATTCCCATCAGAGTTCTGAAAAATACTTGTGTATGTGTGTACAAGATCCAGAAAGGACTACAGTTGGTTGGGTGGGGAAAAAAGGAACTTCTTGTAGTGTGAGACTTAGTATTAAATCAAACATGAACAGGACCTCAAAAGGGGACTCTACCTCTTCAACTTATGTCAGAAGTTGATTTCTTTGGTCCTGCATACATGAATATGTACACAACAAAGATCTTTTAGGTTACAAACAATACTTCAGTCCACATTTAGGGTAAACTTACTTGTCATTGCTCCCATATTCTCTGAAAGCCTAATTTATGTATGACACGTTCCTCTCATTTTGAATTGTTACACAGGAAACAGAATCTGGCTATGGTATAATGGAAGAACCAGACCTTACTCTAGTAAGCACCAGTGATATCAGCATTGCTGAAACAGATCTTGCAAACTTAACTCTTGATGAGAATCTCAACAATGAAGCACAAAGCTGTTTCCAGGTAAATACCCCTAAGTTATGTGTGCACAGCCTTTCTGGCTGAAAATTGGAGTCTTCACTTTTTGTCATTCTCATTAGAACACAGAGCAGGATTATTAGTACAGCAGATTTTTATGCTACCCTTAAGCCATTGAAAACAGATTATCAATCTTCAATTCATGTGCTCACCCACAGAATTAAGACAGGAAACAAGAAACTTCTTGGCACTTAGGCAGAAGTTGGTAACAACAGATTGCATTAAATACACAAGCTACCCTAGGCACATCTACTCCTAGTCCAAAGGTCTACAAAGGAAGACTGGGGGGTGGGTGGAAGGGAAGCAAGATTTGGTTTGAGGCTAGCAAAGCCTTACATACAAGGAAAAGCCTCAGTGCCACAGCAAAACTTTCTCAAAATTTAGGAAGGTGCATTTCTGCCTCCATCTCCAACAGAAACCTCCGATTATGGAGCTGTATCTGATCCTTGTATAAATCAACCCCAAGTGACACTTTCAGGTAAGTGTAGTGTTGAATATAGTATCAGCCCCTAATGTTTAACTGAAATGAGGATATTTGTAAAGATTTTTTTTTTTTAATTTACAGCCACACCAATGAAAAGGAAAAATACATGTATGTCGCAATCCTACCAGAGACAAAGAGAAATGCGGAATAAAACTCAACTCCCTCAAACAGGTATGCATGACTCTGGCAACAGGTATTAGGAATGTTTATGTGACCTAGAACCAACCTTTTAATTAATCCCTTGATCTCAGGTTCATCCCTGAGCCGCCTGAAGGGTGTGAATAAAGTTAGAGCACCTCTCCCTGAAGAGAGAAAGGCCAGACAAGCCCTCACTCACCAAAGGGCACTAAGGTATGGGTTTTGTTGTTCATTTGCTTTTAGTGTTTGGCCATTAATGCCATTTAATTCCATGTACATTTCTTACAGATTATACAAGCAGTTAGCTGAGGTAAGACAGCAAAGAGAAGAAAAAGCAAAGCAAGAAGTCCATGCCCAAAATAAAGCAAGGGCAAAAGAATTTCATAAGGTGAGCAGGAGCCTGTTTTTACCCTCAAAGGTGCTAACTCAAACAAAACAGCTAAATTTAATTTTCATTCCTTCTGCAGAAAACACTAGAGAAACTTCGAGCCAAAAATACATGCTGACTTCCTACAAACTGTGTAAAGGGTTTTCTTTTAGTAACTGTGTAAAGGATTTTCTTTTAGTTTAATGTATAAAAAACTAGACAAAATTATTTATTGCGAACAATAAATTTTTATTTAATAAACAATTTTTATTTAAATAAATTTTTATTCTATTCTGTTGCTTTTCATTCATCCAGGTCACATGGGTTCAGGATTTCTGAAGAGAGAGTTAAGTTTTAAGTTAAACTCTTAAACCTTCTGACTCAGGGAAATGCATGTATCTTCTCAGAAAAACACAGCACTATTGAGTGCTTGTTTTGTTCTGTGGAGAACATTAATCTCTGGTCACAGCGTTAAGAGCTTTTGGTTTCACGGTCCAACAAGCCCTCTTTGAAATGACCTTCACTGTCTTTCTTGTATACATACCTTTCCTTTCCCAAGGATGTTCAGTCCAGTATTACTTATTATCAGCCCTGCAGGACAAGAACATGGGAGGAGTAAGCAGCTGAGCATTCTAGGGCCATCTACCTCCAAAACAATCATTAGTAACTGAGAAGAGATTTACTCATCAGAAACAAAATGTCCCCAACAGGTTAACTGCCAGCCAAGTAGCACATAGAAAACCTAATGGGAATTTTTTTATGGTCATGTCCACAGCAAATGAGAAACTGAATTCTCAAAGCCTTGGTAATGACCATTATATAAAAATGACATTAAAACAACTACTTGCCTTTATTCTCTTTTTCTTTTCATGAGAAATTCAAGGTTTTCTACCTGTGGAAAAATGAAAATGGCTAAGTGTTAAAAACTGCCCTAGAGAAAATAAGGCAGGACTGTTAGTTCATAGCAGGCTACAAAGCCAGATTGTCTTGCTCACACTTGTAAGCCCGAGTAGGTAAAGGTAACTGCACAACTTCCAAGATCCTCATGACTAAGGGAATAGACTTCCCAAGATGAAATAAATCAATCCTTTGGGTCTATTTCATGGTATCTGGAGAGAGCCACCAAAAGTAGATGTTCAGAAAGGCCAATTTCACTCAGCCCATTCAGAGCAGTTGAACATTTTTGCCCATCATCACAACATCATGTCTCTGACAGCAAATTCCAGTACCTTATCATCTAACTATAATGGTGTACATAAAGTTAACATCTTACCAGAAGATTTCTGGTTACTTCTTCAAACGATTTACTTTAGGAACCTAAAGGATTGATGATCATCGAGTAAGTATTGTGAAATGAATCATTATCATGTCAAATGTTACAGGTCTCATTGTCACCACTGTAATATACCTACTGTGATGGAAGCATGACCTGTGCCTCAATTTAGCCACATTAACCAGTTCTGGACACTGATTGACAGTGCCCATTCTTATGTAGAATGAGGCTCAGTAAAAGTTCCCGAGTCTCACACATTATTCATAAAGTAAAACCAGCTAGAAGCAAACAGAAACAATGCCTTACCATTTTAATGTAGGCCTCTCACTTGTTGACATCCTAGAAGAAAAGGAGTGATTCATTCAGCAAGTGACAATGCTTGCCCACCGAGCATATACCAGCTATTCTCCAGAATCCCCATTGTAGTCAAACTTACAAGTTAGTTGCTCTGACCTCAACAGGGCACCCATAGCCACAATAAATATATCCAGTATAAAATAGTAACTGTTTCACTAGAAATACCAGGTTTAACATGCACAAAGCCAAGAAACCAACGATGCCAGATAGTGAATTTCTATTGCACTGTCTTTTGAACACGCCAGCAGGAAAGAACTGCTGAGTGCAGATACCATGCAGTGCCAATTCCTAAAACCCACAGCCTGGTGCTCCTAATGAAGACACTAATTAATGGTATGGTCCTAATCATGGTCTCTTCTGAATAACCAATGTTCCATATATTAAGGGGGCTGTTCATTTATGCAGGTGATTCAGAATTCCATCTGATTCTTCACTCCCACCCACACTGGAAAAGTGCCCAAATGAAACTTTAACTTGCCTGATTTTTTCTCTCTTTGGGAACACAGACATATGCACAGGCTGTTAGATACCCTCCCTGATCATCTAACTCGTATTTTCTGAGGGTTTCTCGCTGAAGCCAGAGTTCCCAGATTTGGCTATCATACCGGCCTAGCTTCTAGGGTTCTGAACCAATTACTGGGACCAATTACTTAATCTGCTAGCCATCTAGCCAGCAAGAACTTTATTTTCTGAGGCACGTTTCCAATAGTTTCCCAGGCTGGCCTCTAACTTGGATCCTTCCGCCTTCAGGCTCCTAACTCCTACGATTGCAGGAGTGGGACAAGCACACTGTGTGTGGTGTGTTAAAGAACTCAATAGTCCTATTGACTGAGCATTTCTAGGCATGTGCTCTACTGACATGAGAGCACAAAGAAAGGTTTTTTTTTTTTTAGTCTATACACAGCAACTGCTTTTGCTGGGAACTATACCATGTTACAACCTGAAGCATGAGACACTGAAACTAAAAACCAACAGAAATTTAGTTTCACTTACCAATGTGTTTGAAGAGTTCTGCTAATATTCATTCCTAGAGAATAGTACATAAATAAGTCTTTTTTTAAAAAAAAGGATAGGATTCCCAGTTATAAAAACTACAGTCTAAGTTCACTGTCCAGATTTAATAGCTGTAGCCAGTTCTATCAGAATTAAGTTTTAGTTCATGTCTGTATCATTCAGCAGTTGAACAGTTTTAATTCATCATCTGAACTGTAACTATGTTTTCCCAAGATACAGTGCCAAACTTACCTAACACTCTTAATAATTTTTGAAGGATATGCCAGTACCTGAAGTTAAAAAAAAACTGAATAAAATATTAGTGTTTCATATTTCTTAAATGTCTTGTAGTTCCTCCTTTCCACAGACCTAATAAGCAGTTCTGTGAATCAAGCAAACCACAAGTTACTGTATGAGGCGTTTCCAACGATGGGTGGCTATTAGGGAAGCCCCATCGGGATAGACCTCAAAAGGAAAGCACTGTGATGCCAACTTCTGTATGAACACCTATCTACAAATAGGACCTTTAGGAAATCACAAAAAGAAGTCATCTCAGAACACTTGCCTAGTGAAGCTCATTCTTATAGGGCCAGGTTCTCAAATACTCAGCACGTGGTATGGATTCTTTACCAAGCTGTTTTAAGCACCAGTACAAAGTAAATTTTCATCAAGAGGCTAAAAGGGTATAGCCTGATTTTTTTTTTAAGGACAGTATTGAGGCTTTTGAAAATATGTATTCAAGATTGTACAAATTTCTGCTGTAATTATACAATGTTTCAGAAACTTTATAGGGTAATGTTTTAACTTGAATATGAGACCTTATAGCCTTCAGTGTTTGTTCTTGCACTATCCTAAACATTTCAAATTACTGTTTCTAAATATGCACACTTGAACATGCTCAAGGATTTCTTGAAAGCTAGAGCACAGAATAAAACTGGCATTTACAAATATAATGAAGATATAAATTGAGAGTATGCTACTTACCACACTGAAACAAACATCTATTCGCAGGCATCTTCAATCGGCCTTCATAGTCAAGACAAGCCTTTAAAAATAAAGAAATATTCGTCACATTGGGCTTTTTTATTGTTACCTATGCCTTTAAATTATAGGACAGCTAGAACCAACCTCATTAGTACCACAATCCCGTTGTGCTGTCCTATATTCCTTCTTGTATGTATCAAAACTCATACTGAACAATGAGTTCTGGGTTGCAAAAGAGGATTTACTGTTGCACCTGTCTAGCCTGCTTTTGTCCACCAACTGAACAAAAACATACACAAGTGCTGCCAAACAAGGCCACAGAAATCGGACACAAAAGCCAGCTTCCAACTGTGACTGCAATATCAACAATGGCAATATTCAAGGCATCCTAGGGCAAGACACGCTCTTATTCCACTCAAGAGTTACACACCTAGCCAGAAGCTGGCACACCACAGGTTGTAGCATCCTGAAGCTGTGTTCTGAGAGAAGGGGTGTGTGAAAAGGTGACTCAGATTATGATTGGCTCTCACTACCCATGAAATGGCTGGTTAGTAACCATCTTTTAAGTCCAGTTCCAAGCGCCTTGATACCTTCTGACCTTGGATACCAGGATGCATAGCGTACACACATACACTATGGCTAAACACTCACACAGAGGCTGAAATCAGAAAGCCGTGTGTGGGTCTTTATATTAGCACTTTTCTTCCAGCATCAAAATCATACTTGAAATTAGTAAGTAATGGCTTTCCCCAGTAATTTGTGGCTTCTTTCTCAGGCTGGCTCACGTTTTGTTTCTTCATCTAGCTGGCATACAAAAAAAAAATTCACTTGTAGTCTTGTCTTCCTATTGTTTCTTTTTTCTGAGTGCTCTTTACCTTCTTTGATATTTGTATGTACATCTCCTTTCCAGGCCCTTCCATGCTCTCTCTGTGCAGTTTCGTTGGCCTTAGCTTTTTTAGAGAATGCAGACTCTTCCTTACTCTTCTCTTGCTCTAAATTTCTCTTTGGAAATTCTGAGCTTATTATGAAGCAACTGTCTTCCTGCATTTAATAGAAAAATCAGTTAGTAACTAAGTTCAACACTGACAAGTGGGTGAGTGCTACATCTATTCCTCAAAGTCCAAATAAACACCTACACTATTTTCTCACGTGACAGCCTTCATATCATGAGACTAATTAAATATTCATTACAAAGTATTTTAATGGGAGGTGGAAAGATCACTCAGTGGTTATGAACACTGACTTCCTTATGGAGGACTAAGATTCAAATCCAAGCACCCACACGTATATTACTCTAGTTCCAAGGGACCTATGCCCAATTCCGGCATCCCCAGGTATCAGGCATGCACATGGCATAGACATACCTGCAGGCATCAACACCTACATACATAATACTGTAAACTAAACAAAAATCTTAAGAATGGAGTCATGCATAAGCCTATAGCAGGAGCAAACAGTGCTGGCAGATTAATCCACTGGTCTATGGTCTCAGGGTTCATTGATATGTGTGATAAAATGGAGAAGTGGCACTGACTTCTAGCCTCCACACATATATACCCATACCTATACCTGCATACAAATATTCAAAGCTGGGGCTATAGCTCAGTGGTAGGATGACTTGTCATAAATGTGAACGCATAGATGAGGTCCTGAGCTTTGACAGGGATAAGCAGAAGAGCCGCAAAAAAAAAGAAAAAAGAAAAAAAGCTCATTATCAAATATTCTAGAGTATTTTCATTCTTGTTTCCTACATTAAGTTTAAATGGAATTTTAATAGAAACCACTGTATACAACTTCTCCATTCCATAAACAGTGAAAATCAGTCACTTACAACCAATCTGATATCACATCCAGACTCGGGATTTGTTGCCTCATCTTCTGCTCTGTAACATTAAGTAAATAACTGTCACAAATCTTGCCTTTTTATAGTCTAACACTACTGAAATCTAGGCTCTAAGGAAAGCATAACATCCTGCCTGTAACTCTCCAAACTAATGTCCTGTGCATATACCCAATAAACAATCCTACAAGTGCTATGATAACATGTTTAAGCATTATTATCACTGGATGGTTAGTCCATCAACATGTCTTCAATCCTAGCACTTGGGAGATAGAGGTAGGTAAATCTGAGTGTAAGCAAAAGCCACAAAGTTGTGAGACTGTCTCAAAACTACTTAAATGTGGAATAATAGATACTTAAGTTAGCTTTAAAACACACACACAAAACACAAACTCAGGAACAAATAACTCTTCAAGGTCCAACTTACAAAGGCTCTTCAATAGGAGAAAGAGGACCATCATCATCCATGTACTTGTGTCTCCGACTGTCAAGGTCTTCCTTTTCTAAATCTTCCCCAGCATGCATTTGCTCCAAGCATTCCTTAAGGTGTTGCTCATACTTCAGTTTTTCAATGTGGTGAAAAAATCCTCTTGCAACAGCTTGCTTCAAGTTAGATACACAATTCTTTAAATCTTAGAACATCAAATATTAATGATAATCAAGCTTGAAATTCTACAAGGGGCTGGGCGACGGCTCACTGTACATCAAGACCAGATTTGGAAGCACAGAAACCATGTGAATGCTGAGTGTACACAGTGGTTCTACTGTAATTAATTCCAGTCTTGGAAGGTCAAGGCAGTACCCCAAGAACAAGCTAAATAGGAAGACAACCTAAATTAGCAAGTTCTGCTAGGTTTGCACATGCACACACATGGAAAGAATGACTACATTAATCCTTTTTGATTACAAATTCCAAATAAGGATCATTTGTATTTTTGTAACATTTAATGCTCAAATATTTGAAAACCCTGATTAACACCTGGGTACTTGAGTATTCCTGATTTCATGTGTATGGGTGTTTTCACTGCCTGTGTATCAATGCACTACTACATGCCTGGTGCCCTCAGAGACCAGAAGAGAGCATCCCTGGGGTTATAGATGTGAGAGACCATGTAGGATACTGGACATTGAACCTGGCTACTCTGGAAGAACAGCCAGTGTTATGTATTTCTCCAGCCCTTGTCCTTGTTAGCTTTAACTCAATTTGACATTGCTCAGAATCACCTGAGAAGGAATCATCAACTGAGGGACTGCTACTATTATTGTGTAAAGACTGCCTAGATTGTAGGTGGTACCATTCCTCGGGCAAGGGCTCCTAGGTTAACAATGCACATGACCAGCTAGCTAGAAAAGCAGCATCTTTCACATTCCTATTCTACAGCCCTTTCTGGATACTTCTAAAAGTGGGCTTTAAGAAATCATAACCTTACTTTGAAATGACAGGTTTGACTTGGGCTACTGAAAAGGTACCTTGAGTATTGTATGCTTGAGAGTAGTTTAGACAGTAAGATGAAGGAATTTTCTGCATATAAACAATCTTGGAGCATTATTCTCTAAATTTTTGCAGATTTCACTCAGAAACACTTGAAGACTAGAGCACACTTCACATAGAAGCCACTGTTTGTCAAAGTAAGTGTTCCAGGTGTACCTCAACTAAGAATGGCCAACAACCACACCTTTAATCCCAGAACTTGGGAGGCAGATTTCTATGAGTTCAAGGCCAGCCTGATCTACAAACTTTTAGAACAGCCAGAGCTATTACAGAGAAACCTGGTCTTGAAGGGGGGGGGGGGGGCACACAAACATTCCATTTTACCTAGTGTATTTGTCTACATGAGAATGACTCACCTCGTATGTTAAAATTTTCTTCCAAGGTAAAGATTTTCTTTCATTTTCAGATTCTAAGAATGGAAATACAGCTCCTTTGTCTTTAATTTGTTTGATATCTATTTGTGACCTTCTAGGGTTTCTAGTATTTTTTATTCCAGGTGGTCTTCCTCTTGGTCTTAATCTTGGCTTATACTTTCTCTTTTTCCGTTTCCTTTTCTTAAATCTTTCAAAAATAGCCTTCAAAGTTAGAAGCTTTGGTTCCAGAGAGGAGTCACTGGACGAGTCAGTTTCAGCCCTCACAGGTGAAATGACACATTCTGCATTAGGATTTCTTTGTCTTTGTGGAGGCGAAGGCACACACTGGGTTTTAAATAAGCTATCAGATGAGTCATCACTAAAAAAAAAAGTAAATAAACTGCATTACTGAATTATCACTAGAAACAATTCTCATTCCTGAATGGCAAGGCAGCTCACAATCGTTAGTAACTCCCGTTTCCTGGAGCTCCACACACACCCTCTTCTGATGAGAGCACAAGGAACACATGATACTGTAGAAAAGCACACATCGGACAAATCGGAGAAAACGTTAAAAATTCGAATGTGCCTTTCTTCCAAAGCCAACCCCCCCAATCATACCCAACACTTTAGAATGGACTAAGTACCAGTTAGTGTGACACACTAAGCCACTGTGTCCTGGCCATCATATCTAAAGCACAAAACTATTTAAAATGTTTAATTTTATCTTCCATGAAAAAGAAGCTCCAAATCATCTGCTTAACTTTTCTAAACCTTCCACTACCTATCTACTAGACAAAAA